CTAACACCCTCTTTCGAAAAGGTTACTTGTCGTACGTTACACGAGGTTTAGAATTTTGGAGCGACAGAGTCGCAAACCTCCGAACCCAACAATATATATTATGTAGTGTTCTTGATCTCGTGTTGTGCTCTTGATCTTGATTCACCGCTCCGTTTAACTTTGCTCTGAACAGATATCGTATGTATACCAAAGACCAATTTTTTATTTCTAATTATAAACTAAGGTGTACACTTATTTACATTGTATAGTACGTACGTATATACAATAATTTTAGAAAATATGATCAATATTCACAATATTTCTTTTTTAAATAGAAATGGTTTAGAAAAGCTGTCCTGAAATTATTAACGCAAGATGAAATCTGCAGAAATTAGCCGATCGAGTTGCAAACTTTTAAAAACAAACATGAATAGTTATTATCTCTTACTTTTAATAATAAGTATTTATATAATAATAAACGTTATTGATGAACCTTTGAATTCTTTCACCTAGCCTTAAGATTTATTCTTGTTGTAATAAATAATGAAAATGTACGTTGTAAAGGGCGAAAATGCTCTAGGATCTGGATAGCACAATATGTATGCTACAACACTACACCAATACCAACTAAATTACTCTATTTTAACTCTAATAATAGTAATGTTTTGATCGAGGTGTGGAAAGACTTGGTACAAGTAACTGGTGTCAATTAGAAGTCAGGTGTCTCTTAGTACAGAATCACGAAGTTTTGGTCTCTAATTCCTATCATTACTATATATTTTACCTATACAGGGTTTGAAACGCTCGATACGAGGCAGCTTTTGTTTCGAATCATGTGCCATCCGTCGAATATGTGACAGACCAGAGCCAACACATCACGAGATTACCCGATAGCACCGGCTTTATTTATTTATGCCGGTAATACAAATTCCTAAAAAGAAAATAGCCAATCAGTGAGTTCAAATTTTAATCGTTCCGGACGAAAATACTCAAAAACTAGTGTTTAATTCTGCCTTTGTGAACTAATTAAAAATGTTGGGAACGATTCATAACTATATTATTTTACATATTGCCAAAACTTTTGGCATTTCAACATTATATAAGAGTAATAGTAATTCACCTACTACTAACTAAATTCATACAAATGTCGAAAAAATTGTAGAGAAGTAGAAAAGTAATGTTGGGAAAATGGTACTCGAACAAATAAATATGTGCATTTTACTGGATAATATTATTGATTCATTGTATATATTTATATATTTTATTTTTGTCAATAATAATATCGGTCAACGGATATGTTCCTGATTTTCATGACCTGATGCATGTCTATATCGTTATCCATGCGCAATCGATAAGTAAGCTACTGTTGAAATGCTGTTTAGTCAGTTTTCGAGTCAGTTAGAGTCATGTTGTTTAAAGTCGACTTCACTAATATTAAATAGATACAGCAAGAGTAATTCCAATTTATACTAAAAGTATATATGACATAAAGTTCTGTTCAAAATAAGTGAAATATCAAATTATCTTCCGAAGGTACGGATTACAAACAAGTATGTATCTAATTTCGTGTGACTTGAGGTATAGTATCAAAGTTAATTACAGTAACATTATATAAAATTTAATGCAGGTCACTAATTGTAATTGATTTTTACCAGACAAAAAAAAATTGAATCTGGTTAATTTTAATTTTACTATCGTTGATTACTAGATTTATACATTTTTGGTAGCGTTCCCACAAAATTTTTTCCATCCCCTGTCCTGTTTTGTTTCTAAGTAAAAAATTGCGTGTAAATTAAATCTAATAAAACCGCGTCATAGTTAGTATTATAGTTAGAAAATATGACGACTATTAGTAGAATTCCACGAGAAACATTTTTAAGTAGATGGTTTACTAATATAAATTTAGAAATATTCCTGTTTTTTCTGTGTACACTTATCTTACTTATGTACGCCTCGTACATTTTTACTGGCTTATATTGAAACTTTGCAAAAAAATAAGCAATTTATCCTTAAACTGGAATTCTATACTTCGATCCCTTTATGAGATACGTACGTACGTATCTTATTGTGAGATCCCCTCAAAATTTTTGTTGTAGGAATGTATGATTGATTTTTTATATATACTTGCCCATCATTTCAAATTTAATCAAACTCATTTCGAAAATAACAAAAACACCAGTTACTACTCTATTTTATTTTGCAAATAATTACCATTCTTCTTGTGTAGGACATCAGCTCTGGGTTTTAAACCCTAACTGCTCGTCGAATGGTATTGTTTTGCCTCATCTGTCAGTAAATATAATGACCTTAAAACCGGTGTAGAAAGAGATGCAAAAGTAATGCTGTTTCTGAACCCATCGGGCATCAAAATTTTGAAGATGCATGCAAGTTGAACTGTCAGATCTGGCTTTTTAAACCGAAGGCGAAGTAGACACAACCCTTTCACAACCTTCAGATCGTAGAAGAGGATGTATTGGTGAGAAAATACATAATATTAAATTCTAAATGTAATTAAAAATTAATTTTGATTACTATTTCTAGATTTATCGCGTGCTAGACGTGGATTAAAGGCGGAGACCCGTTACCCGATTCATATAAAAATAATAAGTATATATCCTTGGTTCTTCCCGTTCCTACAAAAGTTCAAATCGTTTGTCAGCGGATTCTGAACAAAATGTGAAAGTTCCTCGGGAAAGTACATATGATGCTGAGATGTGCAGGATCTTAGTGAATTGTCTTGCAAAGGTACGCGGATTCGAAATAACTGGCCAGTGGCACTTCGAAGAAATAGGTACTGGCATCATCTTTTTTGCGACCTGACGATAAAGAAACTGGATAATCCCTACTCTGAAGCTGTCCTTGAAGCCGTAGCAACTATAGTTGGCGGTAGAATTATTGAATTACGGCATTACGGCATTTTACCAGATGGTAGAATTAATTACGGCACAGTACCTGATTGCCGTATTGCAATTCTTGAACGTGTGCAGGTTTGTGGCGCAGCAAAAATTCTTTAATCACGTCAAATCCTCGATTGTGATTGGCTAACGGGTGTGGATCTGCCCGCATTAACTTTTATATTCTCAAAATAGAAATTTTCAAAGAATAGACCCATATGATGGTAAAATTAGCCCAAGAACAATTTTCACTTAATGGGCTCTGTGATTTTATTAGTAAATTTCGGCCAAATTCTTTGATCGTCGCTCTAATCGAGAATCTGCCGTGACAATTTTGTTGTGCTAGGTTTTGTCGATCACAGTAGGGTTAGTGTTTAGAATAAACTTAAAGACTGAATGATTATATAGTAAAATGGATCAAGAAAAACTTTTGTTAGAGTACTAAAAGTGGTTCTGTATGTGGTTTTTGAGAAATATGCAATTTGGGACAAAACGAACGTTTGTTTTGAAACTTTACTAATCGTATTACGTGTCTAATTGTTGGTAGAATTACTGAATTACGGCATTTTACCACGTGGTAGAATTAATTACGGCATAACATCTAATTGCCATAAAACTTTTGTGCCGCAATGTCATAATGCTGTAATATCCTAATTAGAGATTGAATTTGTATAAATTTAAATGTGTTGGATTATAATTCACGTCATTTCTAATTAACAAAGTCATTGCCTGCAATAGGTAGTCATGTAGTTCAAGTATTTTAATTAATATATTTAATCTGTTATTTCTTAACAAAGGTTTTTTGGTAAACATATATCTATATATTAAAATTCTTCGTATTATTAAAATAATTGGGGTGTAACGTTTAGACTGCCCTATTGCCCTATATAAACAATTTTTTAAATTGTGTTACTTATTTGCTACGAAGATATCAGGATATCCGTGTAACATCGACCATGATCTGTGATTCAACGTTGTCACATGGCTTCACAGCAGGGGTAACGTATTATGTTATTCAATATATATATAGCATTTACTTAAACATTCATAATTTAGTTTTTTATTTAAATAAATGCTTTAAGTAAATACTGATTCTAAATGCTATACATATATTGAATGACATAATATGTCATCTCTGCCCTTCGATCTGAGACTCAACGTTATCCTAGGACTTCCCGGACATTTATCTTCGCAAAGTCATGTGACAACCTTGAATCGAAGATTAAATGGAGTAAGTGGTATCAAATTATTAATTTTTCTTAATGTTATATGTCACCTGCATTAATCTAACGATTTTATAGATTTATTTATTTAATAACTTTAAACTGTCAGCAAAGTGACAGGTTGTACCAATATGATGCTTAAATTTTTATCTAATTTTTGAACAGTTTATCTCTCGAAGTATAAATCATAATACGATTATTTGGATTAATCGGATTGGATAGAATATGCTAACAATCCACTTATAACAATATTAAATATAAATCAGTCCAGTCCTAATCTAAATCAGGTCAACCTTGATTAAAGATAGCATAGAAAATGTTAATACGTAGAATGGTTTTTGATAATATAAAATTTCAATCTATCAAAATCCACTAAGAATAAAAATACTATATTTGCTTTTGTTCCAGTTTCTAACGCGATTGCATCATGAAGTTACCTTATTTTTATCAACTAAGAAAATAAATAGCTGTGTTATTAAACATCATATAATATTAAAATTTTCAAACTTATTATAATAGCTTGTACTTAACCATCTTACAATAATTTGTTTATGACAATTAGTTAAATTTTTACATTGCTTATTGCTAGGTTATGCAGCGCTACTTAGTTTTTTTTTTCACTTGGGCAATGCATAAGCATAATGATAAATATTTAATCTTCAGCCATCTGTTTTATATACAACACAGCCGTAACATGCAATTTGTGTATCACTTACAAACATCAAATACGTAATGGCAAAAAAAATATCTAATTAGTAAAATAATTTCAGGCTTGAAAGGATTTTAAAGTTTGCATTAAATATTTCGACCCTATAACATTGCGGCATTACGGCATTACGGCATTACGGCAAAAAATACGGCACATGCCGTTGCCGTATTGTTTTACAAAACTAATTCTACCGCCACCAACAACTATATTTACGTCACACCTGATTCTTGAAACTTGATTTGTAGATGAGAGATTTGCGCCACAATGATTGGCACATGCTTCAAGAATTACTTCGATACTATAATTGCTTCGATACTATGACGACATTACGGCATTACGGCACTACAGAATTACGGAAAAAATAATACGGCACATGCCGCTGCCGTATTGATTTGCCAAATTAATTCTACCACCAACTATAGTAGCAACAGGGTCCATTTCTACACTTATGAAACATTTCGATCGGGCAATGAAGTATGCCGACCGGCTTTGCTCTAAGGAAGTTTGGATCGTGCATTTCTCTAGGTAAGATCCTTCTGTATTCGACCCATACTGCCCTGTGAGAAGCTTCAAGATAGGGGATTAAAGATTATACTTTTCTGGCACGATGAGGGATTTGAAAACATGCGAATAAGTACCAGGTTTCGGGATGTTGATGATGGGTTTCACGAAATAATAGATAACCAAATTTTACTCATTAACTATTAATGGAGTTTCGCCTGAAAAGGCTTGTGCAAATCTTCAAATCAAACTTTCATTTATCATGTATTTTCGCATGCAAACATTTTAATGCAAAATTATATCTAATTGATGAGTGCTACAAAGGGAAAACTTGTATTTGCGAGTTTTCTGAAATCAATTTTATAGAAACGGATTTATCAGACACATGATTCATTAAATAGTATTTATTGTCACGAATCCATAAAAATTTTGCAATCACATGTGGTATATAGCACATCGATAAAATTTCTTAAAGCTTGTTAAAGTTAGGGTTGGCGTATATATTGCGGCTAAGTGTTGGCATGATTTATAGTAAATAGCTCAAGGAAAACTTTTACTTGTACACCAAAGGCTGTTTATTATACAGATTTTCGAGGAATAGGCGATTTTGACCAAACGAACGTTTGTTTTGAATTTTTTGACCGCGTTACGTTACACCTGATCTTGAATTCTGATTCGTTTGCACCACAAAATTAGAGGTCGTCTAAAGCCAGGTAGTTTTTAAATTGATTATTAATAAATTTGTAAAGCAAAACACACGTGACACATATAAATTACTGCCTGGCTTTAGATGGTTCCCGAAATTAGGAGAATTTATTAGCCAAATCTATCAATTAATCAATCTTTAAATTCCAAAAACTGGATGAGAATTTAAAAACTTAAAAAAGTGAAAAATTTTCTAAAAATATAAAAAGAATAAAATAAACCACTTTCTACTAATAGAAAAATTAAAAATGACTTTGATTAATAAAAAGTTATGTTGCAATTTTTGTGAAATCTATTATTGCATATGTCTTACAAAATCTTTAGCATACATTATGTCTTTGTCATGGAATTCAAATCTGACATGAATGCAAGGTTTTATTCTTTTAAATTTCTACGCACCTTGTAATTTATTATTTTTATAAGTCATTCAAGTACAAAAACATTGCTTATACCTATACTCAAATTCAGGTGCAATTCAAATCTTTGTTTATTTATCATTTACGTATGTCTCTTTTAGAATGACACTTTTTCATCTCACCAACCATTCTGTACGTACTTTTAAAGGTTCTTTGTTTTTCTTTAATTTGTAAATCACGATACACGTCACGAATAATTTATACTTTCTAGTCCAAAAAAAATATTATAACTCAAGTTATGTTCTAAATTTCCATGTTCAGGCTACTCAAAGACAATAGCATCAGGATTATCAATTCTTTTAAATGTATGCATATCTTTGAGATATTGTGGATCAAAAAAAGCACACATTAAACTAATGATAGACCTTGCACTAGACTTAGACAAACCAAGATTGTAATCAATCTACCATCATCATAAACTAGTATATTTTTATGCTATTTAATATTATCAGTGTTAATGCGTGTGTCGTACGTCGGAACAGAATTATTGTATGTTTAAAGTTTAATTAGGTTGAAACCAGTGTTGGCAAATAGAACAAAAGCTTTTTTTTTTGTTTTAATATAAAAAATAGATTTTTATTAATAATTTACAATTATTTAAATATATATTGTTAGAATATTAGAAATGTTATTATATTTAATTAATAAAGTTTAATACTAAAAATTTACAGTAGAAAAATAAATAAAAAATGAATATAATCATAAGCCAAGAGAACAAGCATAGTAAACATGACAACCCTGGTTGAAACGGAATTCCAAATTCGGTACTGTAATAAATGTGTATTTGACTGATATAACGATAGTTAAAGTGAATAAAATTTATCGTTATAATAAATTGGTAAAATATTTAGGTCATTATTTTTTTATTTTCCCTTCTATCTGACGCTCTAATAATATATTTGAAGAATTGCTTTCAAGGCCTTAGTAACGAATCGGCTAATAAGTAGTATAAAACTTTTATTCCATGTGAAGACTTTGACTTCTGTAAAAAGATCATTATCGGACAAAAATACATTTTCTATACGTGATCTTGAAACACAAATCAATCCTATAATCCACCTTATTAACCTGACTTAAACCTACCTGTATTTATTGTCCTAACAAGTTATCTGAATTAAATAGTATTCCTTCGACGTTCTCAGGCATTCGAAAAGCATCTATTATATAATCCTCTTCGCAATTTAGATAATGTAAATTCAATTGCAAATAAAAATCATTATAAATATAAAGAAATGAATTTGATTTGTAATAGTGGTTGTAAAATGTAAAACTTTATGTAATGCTTTTTAATTTGTGATGCACTTTTATTAATAGACCTTATCATAAATGACTTATTCCAAACTAATATACTTGATAAAATAATTTAAAATGCACTTCATTTTATTGTAAGTTGGATTTGAGTTCTTTAAAAGCTCGGATACAATTCAGAATTTAGCAAATAAAATTGAAGCAAAGCATAAGTCTAAAGAAAAATTAACAAGGCCCTAATAAAATCAAAAATAAAACATCCAACAAAACAACTAACTTGGAAGTAAAATCTCATAGGATACCTCTCTAGTACACCATCAGTGTTTCGATAATTAATGAAATATTAGAGTATTTGAAGATAAAAATTAACAATAGGCCTTTCGTCAAATCAGGAGATTATTGGACGATTGTTGGTAGAATTTCTGATGACCAAGTAATTATAGATTATTGTTTGATAGAATCTATTATGAAAAGATGGAAAGTGAAATTTTTTTAAATAACAATAAATTTAAATAACAATACACCAATAGACGAATGAGTACGAAGCCTTCCTTACCTTAGAACGGATGTATTCAAGTCCATTTACTCTGCATGCACTTTCTAATATGGATTGTTTATATATGTTTGCTTTCCAAACCATTTTTTTATAATCCGATTATTTGGATTCCACATAGCCGTTTTTTTAACTTATTCTCCGTCTAATGTTGTTTTCAACCGTATTTAGTTTATCAGCCTCCCTCATATTGATGATATTTAAGATAACCTTTATCTTTTTTTATAAGGCGGGAAATTTTATTACTAACACTTCTTTTTTAATTTGCGGGAGATCTGTTAAATTTACATAAGAGGACACGGTTTCAAACCAAATCTGGCCACTACTGTCGTCATATCTTTTAATACTATGTTGAATACTCCATTATTCAATTCGTAATTCTTGGTCGTTACCACTATTATTCCTTAACGCTTCGATCGGCCTTTTTTTCTCTGTGTGGTTTGACTAAAGTTTCTGGTAGAAATAAGTAAAACGGATATGACTATCTAAAATTTGATTGATTGTTCTACTATAACAGTCAATCAGATTTTAGATAGTGGGTTGTGACCTGCTGAATTATTCAGCCTTTATCGTTATTATTGTCGTGACATCCGACTGGACTAAAGTTGTAACTTCAGTTGAAGTTAAAGTTGCTAATTCTGTAATTACGTAGTCGGTTTATCATTTATGCCCAGATTAAAATAATTTCAATTTAAACCAATTATAAGTATTTATTTATTTCACAGCGAGCTTTTAGCTATAGAAAAATGTAATAAATGTTGCATAAACATCGATATACATTGTACATAGCAAGAACAATAAAGGTAGAGACAAATATTACGTAGCATTCTTTTACTGTATTATACCCCACGTAAGAAAAATTTAATTAGTTAGTTATATAAATTTATACTCTTAATATAAGATATCAAGAGACCACCTCTCCTCTCAAGATATTACATATACTGTATCTGTCATTACCCTAACCTATTTCTAATATATTTTATTTAAAAAAAAAATTGCAAATTGAAAAAAAACAACTATTAATTACAAACTCCATCAAATATTACCTATCATTAGACATTAGTCAAAATTTGGGCATTCAACAGGTTTGCTTACTAAAACATGTTCAAACGTTAATAAGTATGAAAGAATAATACTTTTAAGACGACTATTTTGGTTGGATAATATTCTTACCTGCAACTACTGGTTTAGCATTTATTGGTTTAGGGAGATTTTGATATTTCAAAAGCCGACTTAAATAAATAGCTTGTTTATGTGTCTGGTAGTTGAGTCGTGTCGATATAACTTGATGGGGATTTTTGCCAGAGTTATTAATTTCTTTAACCTGCTTATATAATTCAGTTTCTTCATTTCTCAAATCATCACGAAATTGTTTTAGCGTATTGGCCAATTCTTCAGCGGTTGGTCGGTTTTGAGGTTCAGCATCTAAGCATTTATCCATCAAATCCAAAAGCAGTCTGGGAACTTCACATCTAATTTCGGGTCTATAACCTAGACAAACTTTAATTGCTAGATCCTCATCATGTGAAATATCATGATATGGAGGATACCCAGTAAAAACTTCTGACATGATTATTCCAAAAGAATAAATATCTGATTTTTGAGTATATTTCTCTCCATGTAACACCTCTGGAGCAATATAAGGAAGCACACCAAAAATTCCTTCATAGTTTGATTCTTGGGACACCGGCTTGCATAAACCAAAATCAGTAATGTAAGAATTGACTATATTTCCGTTAACTATGTTTCCAGAATGAAAATCTCTATGCATTAATTTTACTTTGTGGATTGTCTTAAGCCCATCGGCTATGTAAAATAAAATCAATATTCTATGACTCCAATTTAAGTCGTCATATTTGCTATCTAATAATTTTCGAAGACTTCCTTGCTCTGCATACTCCATAACCATCATATAATTATGATCATATTGGTTCTTAGTTATGCCATAAATTTTAATTGCTGAATGGCCCCCATATTTATGTTGATTTTCAATCTAAAATCATAATTAGAATAAATGAAATTTAAATAATGCTGTAATGATAACAATTACGATAAAAATTTTGGGACATATACTTCTTTTAAAAATTCTTGTTTTACATCTTTAGAATTATAAAGGCTCTTTAAACAAACATTCATTCGCGACTTCCTTATCCATTCATTTTTCATAGCATCAAATCCCTTAATATATCCATCATTCCAAACTGCCTTAAAAACAGTGCCAAATCCTCCTTTAGCAAGATACTTGATATTTGTAAACTTATTAAAAGGTATCCATTCGATAATGTCTTTAAACCCCTTTGCATTAAGTTGAGTTTTTTTAATAAATTCATCAATATAGTTATTACCACTTGTCAAATTATGAAATTCCTTTTTAAATCTTAAATGAAAAATAAATATAATAATGTACTAACGTTAAGAGCTACAATTTAATAATAACAAATATATACCGTCTATCATGGTTTGGCATAGTTAATTAGAGGCGATTTATTATTATTATTATTGGAATTATAATATCATTTAATGTAAAAAAATTTACAAAACTTACTCGCTATTGCAGTGACACGCATTATGTAGTTAACGTTAGTTTGTATCGTAATTTACAAAATTCATTTTAAAAACTTACCCGCTATCGCGGTGATACACAGCATGTAGTTAAAGTTAGTTTGTACTGGCATTATCGTTGATGTCTGTCGTAAAAAAAAAATTCATTTAAAAAACTTACTCGCTATTGCGGTGACACAGTATTAGTTAAAGTTATGTTAGTTTGTGTTGGCATTATCGTTAATGTCTATCGTAATTTACTCATTTAAAAAACTTACTCGCTATTGCGGTGACGCGCAGTATATAGTTAAAGTTATTTTAGTTTGTATTAGCATTATCGTTGGTGTCTATCGTAATTTACTGTAAAAAATTCATTTAAAAAAACTTACTGACTATTGCGGTGACACACAATATGTAGTTAAAGTTATGTTAATTTGTATTGGCATTATCGTTGATGTCTATCGTAATTTACTGTAAAAAATTCATTTAAAAAACTTACTCGCTATTGCAGTGACACGCAGTATGTAGTTAAAGTTATGTTAGTTTGTATTAGCATTATCGTTGATGTCTATCGTAATTTACTGTAAAAAATTCATTTCAAAAACTTACAGACTATTGCGGTGACACATAATATGTAGTTAAAGTTATGTTAGTTTGTATTGGCATTATCGTTGATGTCTATCGTAATTTACTGTAAAAAATTCATTTAAAAAACTTACAGACTATTGCGGTGACACGCAGTATGCAGTTCAAGTTATGTTAGTTTGTATTGGTATTATCGTTGATGTCTATCGTAATTTACTGTAAAAAATTCATTTCAAAAACTTACATACTATTGCGGTGACACACAATATGTAGTTAGTTTTATCGTTGATGTCAATCGTAATTTACTGTAAAAAATTCATTTAAAAAACTTACTCGCTATTGCGGTGACACGCAGTATGTAGTTAAAGTTATGTTAATTTGTATTGGCATTATCGTTGATGTCTATCGTAATTTACTGTAAAAAATTCATTTAAAAAACTTACTCGCTATTGCAGTGACACGCAGTATGTAGTTAAAGTTATGTTAGTTTGTATTAGCATTATCGTTGATGTCTATCGTAATTTACTGTAAAAAATTCATTT